GCAGTGCGAGAGTTTGCTGGTAGTAAGTTGGACCCCTTCAGGGTGGGAGTTTGAGTCCTTCAGGACTGCCCCTTGTCACAGATTGCACTCATAACTTTTATGGACATAATTTCTCGGTGCAACCAGGGGGCGGATGGATTCTGGTTCGGCGTCCTCAGGATTCCATCTCTGCTCTTTGCAGATGATGTGATCCTGTTGGCGTCATCATACCGTGATCTTCAGCTCTCACTGGAGCGGTCCGCAGCCGCGTATGAAGAAGCTGGGATGAGAATCAGCACCTCCAAATCTGAGGCCATGGTCGTCAGTCGGAAAACGGTGGATTGTTCTCTTCAGGTCGAGGGTGAAGTTCTGCCTCAAGTGGAGGAGTTCAAGTATCTCTGGGTTTTGATCACGAGTGAGGGAAGAATGGAGAGTGAGATTGACAGACAGATTGGTGCAGCACCTGCAGTATTGCGGACCCTGTTCTGGTCTGTTGTGGTGAAGGGGGAGCTGAGCTGTAAGGAGAAGCTCTCTGTTTACTGGTCAGTCTACGTTCCTACCATCACATACGGCCACAAACTCTGGGTAGAGACTGAAAGAATGAGATCGTGGATACAGGAGGTTGAAATGAGTTTCCTCTGCAGGGTAGCTGGACTCTCCCTCAGAGACAGGCTGAGAAGTTCAGTTATCAGGAGAGACTCGGAGTAGAACCACTGCTCCTCCACATGGAGAGGAGCCAGTTGAGGTGGTTCGGGCATCTAGTAAGAAAGCTTCCTGGGCGCCTCCCTAGGGAGGTGCTTCGGGCATGTTCGACTGGGAGGAGACCCCAGGGAAGACCCAGGACACAATGGAGAGACTACGTTCTCTCAGTTGACCTGGGAACAATTTGTGGTCCTCCCAGAAGAACCCAAGGCGTTCCCAGGCCAACTAAGACCCAAAACAGCTGGAAGAGGTAGCTGTAGAAATAGATGTCTTGGCTTCCCTGCTCAAACTGCTGCCCCTGCAACCCGACTTCGGAACAAGCAGAAGATAAAGGATGGATCTTTAAAAGCTGGGAGTGGTGGCACAGAGGTTAGAGAAGGTGGGCTTGTGATCGGAAGATCGTTGGTTCAACTCCCGGTACAGACAACATTAAAGCCAGGAAGAGCTTCTGGCGTAAAAATAATTGGCAAGTCTTCGTGTGTCTTAGTTCGCTGTGGTGACCCCCGAAGAAGGGAACAGCTGAAAGAAGAAGAACAAGTATGGATCTTTAAAAGCTATCTCAGCCTTAAAAAAGTGTCCAATTTACACATTTGTTTTAATGGACAACATTTATTTTATGACGATTTTGAAAATAAGATTTTTTTTTTAACCAATGTGTACAAATGCATTAACAGTATTATTCGTATTTGTAAAAACTCTACTGTGCGCAACGCTACTTTGTTTTATTGGAGAACGGTGCGTACATTTAAAGCTGACGAGAGTCAGTTGTTCTGAGCCGTGGATCGACGCTGCAGCCTGCATGCATGTGCAACTGATTTTATTAATTAACTGTTTATTTGTGCAACATGCACGCGTGTTTTTACTCTTTACATCCAACAACAATTTTATCGGACAAATGAGAGACGGAACTCAACAGCAACGTCCGGCCATGAAACACCGACTACTTACTGGGTTAGTTGAAATTGTCTCGGATTTTATTTATTTTTTAACAGAGGCTGTCAAACGTAAAGGCAGAGCACCACCTAGTGAGCTAATGTAAAAATACAAAGTATAAAGATCGAGATAAAAAAAAATACTAAAAGGAATGTCTTTTTTTAATTTTTATAATATGATAATTTCGAGATTAAGAAAATTAATTTATCATGGATTTTCCTTATGGTAAATTTTCTCCGGGAAACACTAGAGGGTTGTTGCGTTACTGTGAGGTTACAGAAACATTTGAAAACATTTTGACAAAATAATGACAACATAAAATAAAAAAAAATTAGATGGCTTTTTAAGCCCAACTAGATTTTATCCCTAGTTACCCATGTCCCAGGAGAAATTTGATAGTCGGCTCGTATCCGAGGCCAAAAGGGGGAGTCAGAATCAGATAAGCCACAATTGTTGATTTTCTTCAGGCAGACTGTTTTTTTCTTCTCAGCCTCGAGTCCTGCTGGAACTTTCTTCATCCAAAATGGACAAATTTAAGGAAATCCACTCCACTGATCCGTGTTATGAACCTCCTCAATCAATCAGCAACATGCTAGTGAGCCCTAGAAGCTGCAGGTGGCCTTTGATTCTCACAAATTACCTCCATCTTACGGTTTAGCTTGTTAATCTGCTGATTTTGAGTCCTCGTAGCACAAACCATCATATAAGGGAAGCAGCCTGACCAGGTCCAAGTTTGCTGCTGACGACATCCTTGATTGTAGATAAACCAGGAACCAGCCGAATGCAAAACGCAGGAAACCAGTTATCATAAATCCAAGTATATACACGTCCTTAAAATCCGCAGTAACAGAGATAGACACGCCATCAAGTCTTCCGAGTCGATGAGATATCCAGCTGCGTGCCAGCAAGAGGGTTCTCCAGGACCCTGTTGTTTTGTTGAAAAGATTTTGTCGATTTCGTTGAAAGTCCAGCTCGTCAGATCCATAATAGGATTTTTTTTCGTTGGGGAGATGTGTACCAGGAGCTCCGAGACACACAGATAGCAGAAGCAGGAGGGAGAGCAGGAGCGACCGTCTTGAGCGAGAGCCAGAGCAGAAACTCCAGAAACAATCGTGTATTTTGACCACATCTAAATAAAGACTTAAATAAATAAATACAATTATGAAGATATAAGATCTCCCGAGCGTTCACCACGACTCTGGGATTTTTAATAATTTTATATGTTTCTGTTCGAATGACGAGTCCGTTTAAAAGACGAATCTGCAAATGACTAGTGGTGAACGATGCGTTTAGGTGCTTGCCTCGTTTTTAACGTCCTGCGCAACAACGCTTCACAACAACATTGCAGCATGGAGCAAAACGTTCACGTTGAAAAGAAGAGAGAAGTCTCGAGCGTCACGGCGGGAAGTGGGGTCGCAGCGTCGCCGCGGTTGTTAACGGACTTAACTTAACGGTAAGTTTACACAAGAATATTGTAGTTTTTCTTAAACAGGACATGTTAAATGTAACATTTTTACACAGAAGGATAAAAACGAAACAGCTGAAACTGAATCTCCACTCTATTCTACTTATGTAGAAGCTAGCATTAGCATAGCAGCAAAGCTAGCCGCTTCAGGAAATGCGGCCGTTTGAAACTTTGGTGCGAAAGTGATTCATAAGCTGTCAGCCATCAGCTCGTCATTCTGATCAAAATCAAACTGTTATTGCTCCAAAAGGAGGTTGTTGAAAAAGTTATCTGCAACTGGTAAGATATTGACTGTTCATAACCTTATCACGGAACCCCACTTTAAAAGATTTGAACTATCCCTTTAACAGATTTTTTTAGTTTTTTTGTTAACATGACATATTTATGGCTTGACAGAATAAATGTAGTAATATAATAAACCTGATTTATATTTTGTGTAATTTTTCTTATCTCTGTGTGGGTTGGTCTGTTAGCAAAATATCTCACAAACCAGCTGATGGATTTCAATGAAACTCCTAGAAGGTAATGACATAATGCACATCTAAAAGTGATTAACTTTTACAGCCATCCAAGTTAAAGATGGCTGCCACAGCCAAGCCACATTAGCCAATACATAAACAGCTAAAACTCATATAATTTTAAAGACACTGAGCTAAAATTTGGGTTGGTAGTAGCTGAGAGTCGTCTACAACATCTAGCCGGAACGCTGCAAGCTGTGCAAGATCTTGGCCTAAAACTTTTTGTTGCAACCATTTGCGTCAACCTCGCTTGTCTGTTAGCAAAACGTCTCACGAACCAGAGCACAGATTTTAACGTAACTCCTCGAACGAACTGATTTGATGTTTTTCTAAAACCGATTAACTTTTGGAGTCACTGCGGTTAAATATGGCCGCCGCCGCTAACCAACACCACCCACCGCATAAACGACTAAAACCCAATCAGTTTTAAAGCTACACAGCTAAAATTTGGGGCGGTAGTAGCCGAGAGTCATCCTCAACACAAAGTCTGAGCATCGCTGAATTTGGAAATAAATGTGGCTGTGGCGGCCATCTTGAATTCAAACTGTGTGAAGAAAGACGCAGGGCAGGATCTGCAGGATGCTTCTGGGGAGGGAACGGGAGGAGGAACCCCCCCCCCCCCCCCCCCCCCCCCCCCTGCCAAAAAAAGTTGATGCAATAATCTCCAACCATGAAGTACAATCCATACAGGAGCTCCTTCTCCCTTTCGTTCCTTGTTGCTCACACTTTTAGTTGAAATGGAATCAAACGCGTCACGCATGCGCACACGGGGGGCGCCACGCTGACGCATCCGCTGCTCCACCGCGTCCCTCTTTTCCTTCAGTCGGACTGAAGCTCGTCTGTGGAGGAGAGAAGACTTTTCTCTCTCTCTCTCTGCCGCATTCAACAGTGTTCAGAGCAAAGAGCCTCCTCCTCCTCCTCCTCCTCTCTCCCTCCCCAGTTCGGAGAGAAGGAGCAGAGGGTCGGTGTTTGTCGGGGGGGGGAGGCAAAGTCAGTGAACTGCTCACGATCCGAAACCCGCGGCTGCTTTTTGTCGAGGGGCTCTGGCGCGTTTTTGGAACCGAAACCAGAGGACTGTTTATTCTGCGCACCCGAGCAGAGCGCGCGCGCCTGGATTAATCTCCTCTGCATTCCCTCACTCTGTCGGATTTTAATTTGTTTTATTTTTATTTTTTTTTGGGGGGGGGGGGAGTGCATTGCAGCTCAGCAGAGGGTGGCAGCCTCACCGTGACTCCCCCCACCGCGCGCGCAGAAAACAACAAAAACTGGGACGTTCGTTTTGGATGCGAAACGGCTCAAACCAGAGGAGGAGAGAGGGGGGGACGGAGGGGGAGGAGGAGGAGGGGGGATATGCGGGTGTCTCGGCTTCGCCTCTGAAGCCCCCCAGCAGCAGCACCGGGGGAGAGGGGACGGCTCCCGACGCCGCAGCGCCACGCACGACTCCCGGAGCCGCTGTCTGGTCCCCCCCCCCTCTCCACCCCTCCACCAACCCACCAAGGTCAGTGGAGAAGTGAACACAGGATGGCTGCTCTGCAACGTTTCAGGATTCACTGATCCTTTTTTTTTTTTTTAAAGTGGATTTAATCACCCTAAATGTTTTGTGCCCCCCACCCCACCCCCCCTCGCTGATGCAGACAGCTCGGCGGCTCGCATGTCCTGAACGCGGGGAATGAATTGCTCGTCGCGAGCGGGACCCTGAAAGAAAATGCTGCTCTGGGTCGTCCTGCTGAATGCGGCTCTTTGTGTTGCCAGCGGAAATGTCACGAGGGACGTGTGCAAGGAGCGCGTGTGCTCGTGCGGCGACGTGGAGGGCGACCTGCACGTCGACTGCGAGAAGCGGAGCTTCAGCACGCTGCGGCACCTCGCCGGCCCCAGCTCGCAGTTCTACCACCTGCTCCTGCACGGCAACTCGCTCTCCCGGCTCTTCCCCAACGAGTTCGCCAACTTCTACAACGCCGTGAGCCTGCACCTGGAGAACAACGGCCTGCACGACATCGTGCCCGGCGCCTTCCTGGGGCTGCAGCTCGTCAAGAGGCTGCACATCAACAACAACAAGATCCGGGCGTTCAAGAGGAGCACCTTCCTGGGTCTGGACGACCTGGAGTACCTCCAGGCGGACTTCAACCTGCTGAGGGACGTGGACCCCGCGGTGTTCAGGGACCTGAACAAGCTGGAGGTGCTGATCCTGAACGACAACCTGATCAGCGCGCTGCCCCTCAACGTGTTCCAGCACGTGCCCATCACGCACCTGGACCTGAGGGGGAACCGGATCAAAACGCTGCCTTACGAGGGGATCCTGGAGCAGATACCGGGCATCGCGGAGGTCCTGCTGGAGGACAACCCGTGGGACTGCAACTGTGAGCTGGTGTCGTTAAAGGAGTGGCTGGACAACATACCTCGCAACGCGCTCATCGGCAGGGTGGTCTGCGAGGCCCCCACCCGGCTGCAGGGCAGCGACCTGAACGAGACAGCAGAGGCGGAGCTGTGCCCCTCGCAGAGCGGGGGCCTGGACACCAGCCTGGCGGCCCCCCCTACGCAGGAGGAGACGGCGCAGAAGGGCCAGCCTCGCCCCACGCCTTTCAAAGACGCCCCCACGCCCCGCGGCCCCAAAAGCCACTCGAAGTCTCGCGAGAACTGGCAGCTGAAAACGAAACCCACTCCGGTGGCGACGGGCGTGAACGACGACGGGGAGCCGCCGCACAACCTGACGTGCCCCCAGCCGTGCAGCTGCAAGCTGGTGGGCTCCAGGCGGGGGCTGGGGGTCAACTGCGAGGGCAAGAAGATGGAGAGCCTGGCCGGACTCAAACCCAAACCGCTGTCCGCCCACGAGCTCAACATGAGGGACAACAACATCCACGCGGTGAAGAGGAACCAGCTGCTGGGCTACGCTAGCTTAAACCTGCTGGATCTGGGGGGGAACAACATCAAGGTGATCGACAACGGCACGTTCCAGAACCAGAGCGAGCTCCGATGGCTCTACTTGGATAAGAACTACCTGGATACTCTGGTGGCTGAGATGTTCGTGGGCCTGCTGAATCTGGAGTACCTCAGTTTGGAATACAACGACATCCAGCTGGTGGTGGCGGGTGCCTTCAGCCCCATGCCCAACCTGAGGGTGCTGTTCCTCAACAACAACCTGCTCAAGGCGTTACCCACGGACGCGTTCCTCGGGATTTCTTTATCCAAAATCAGCCTGCATAACAATTACTTCCCCTACCTGCCCGTGGTTGGCGTGTTGGACCAGCTCAGCTCCATCATCCAGATCGACCTGCACGGGAACCCTTGGGATTGCTCGTGCAACATCGTGCCCTTCAAGCAGTGGACGGAGAAGCTGGGGGCCGACGTGATTGTCAGCGACCTCAAGTGCGAGTCCCCCGAGGAGTTCTGGAAGCGGGACTTCCGCCACGTCCGGAACGACCTCATGTGCCCCAGGCTGTACGAGCGCGCGCTGCCGACGGCGCCTTCCAAGAACGCCACCTACGCCCAGGACTCGGGCGGCACGCGCTCGAACTCCTACCTGGAGCCCAACCGGGTGTCCATCTCCGTGCTCGTCCCGGGCCTGCTGCTGGTCTTCGTCACGTCGGCTTTCACGGTCGTGGGGATGCTCGTGTTCATCCTGCGCAACCGCAAGCGCTCCAAGCGGAGGGAGGGGAACTCCTCCGCGTCGGAGATCAACTCCTTGCAGACGGTGTGCGACTCGTCCTACTGGCACAGCGGGCCGTATCACGCGGACGGCGGCGCGCACCGGGGCTTCGACTGCACCACGCACCTGTCGGTTGCAAACGACGCGTGAAAAAGGAAAAACGCAGGATTACAAACTCAAAGAGAAACTTATTTAACGCTCCCATCTGTAACATACGCACTCCTTTCTGCCGCAGTCCAGATCTACGAGACAGAATATACGAAGAGAGCGGAGGAGAACCACGAGACTGAGTGTGTGTGTGTGTGTGTGTGTGAAAGAGAACAATCAGGGGAATGGTGCACGAACGCATGAATGTACATGTAAATACTCTGGACTGATGTATCATAAAAAAATGCATGATGACGATGATAATCCGCATGGTTTCAGACACACGACGGCGAGGAACCAGAACCACCGACAAAGAGGCAAACTGTCCATGCTCTATCAATATGACCACAATATATATATAGATATTAAGAATTATATATATACAAAAGTGCCATTTCTCTATTTTTTGTGAATTAGGATTTGTATTTGTTGTTTCGAACGGGGTGGAAAAAAAAAATCTAATTAATCCGAGCGGCTGTCGGTGCATGTTTCTTTTACGTTCTCCTTCGTTTAATTCGGTTTATCGTTTCCCCGATTATTGACGCGGATATTTATACTTCGGTGGGGAACCCGACGTCATCATCTCCTTTATGAATGTAAAAAAAAAAAAAACGAGAAGAAACTAAACCTGTTGTTCTGTTGAAATATGTGCCAATTTGTTTTTGTTTGTTTGTTTGTTTGTTTGCGGATGTGGCAGACGAGCATGATCGGTTTACAGCACCCAGATGCTTCTGCTGCAGAACTTCATGTAGCTACAGAAACAGTCCAGCGGGGTTTAATCGTGAATAACCGTAGCCTAATGTTTGTGAGAGGAGGAAAAAAACAAATTGATTTTTCAAAAATACGATGGTAAAATTAATTGATTTCCTGTTGGAAGCAGGGCCGTAATTCAAAGGGTGGATTGAGGGGGATGAGCCCATTTGAGACGCAGATAAATGCCTTCTTAAACATATTATTAAAACAATATACTTCTTAAGTGGGCTGCATATTATTTTTTACTATCGTATTTTTGCAAATAAACACGTTTCCGGTTGATTTGATCCACGTGTAGGCCGATATAGACTAGAGCAGTGTTCCTCCACACAAAAGAAGCTTACGGCTATGATTCACTCTCATCATATTGTGAGCTTTTGTAAAGCCATCTAATCCTGTCCAAATACAAACCGCACTGTATTCGCTGGGAAATGCGCTGGAAGCAGGGCCGTAGTTAAGAAGGGGGGATCCAGGGGGACGGGCCCCAATGAGACACATGCTGAGGTGTTCAGTTAATGCAAGATGCCTTTTTCAAACTTAGCATTTTGGAAACTTGAGCTACTTTTTACGTGGGTGGCACGTTTTATTTTTCTTTCTTTTGCACTTTTGTTTGTTTGTTTTTGTTTAGCGTGGGCTTTTGTAAACAACGCCATGACTGAATACCTGTTTCGCAGAAGTCAGCGGTCTTGTTGCGGGGGAATGGAGAGAAAGGGGGTGTCGGCTACTTCTTTTGTCTAGTTTGAGATTTTATAAAAGTATTAATAATAATTTAAAAAAAATTGATACATCTAGTTTTCCTTTTTTATTTTATTTTCTCAAAATGTCTTAAAGTTTAAAGGGATAATTCAGATGTTTTACAGTGGGGTTTTGTGGAAATGGTTATGATTAATGAATATCTTACCTGTCGTTGATGGTTATTTTAGTTAATTCCCAACACTGGTCCCTGAGGAACACCACCCTGCATATTTTTGTTGTTTCTCTGCTCCAACACTGATTCAGTGATTTAAATATTTCAAGTTCTGCCGAAGCCTGTTAATCACCCATTCTTTCAAATCAGGTGTGTCAAAGCAGGGAAACAACAAACATATGCAGGATGGTGTTCCTCAAGGACCAGAGTTGGGAACCATTGATTTAAACAACTTCAGTTTGGAGGTTGGTTCATTCTGACCGGATTGATGAGCTAATGGCTAGTCTGAGCAGCGCTAATACTAAAGCGACTTGCTGACAGTTGACACGTGCATTTAGAGTTATTGACTAGCACACAGAAAAAAAGAAAAAGTGGCATTAGCAGCTAGCTGCAGCACTTCCTGCAGGAACATAATCATACTTTTTCAAGACAAAACTGTGCATTATGAAACCGACTGAGGCAAATATGTTAAAAAAATATATATTTATTATGATTTTTAAATCTAATTATATGTATTTTAAGATGTCAACAGTCCACTTTTGTTTTGGTTCACATTAGCCAGTAGCTCATCGGTCAGATCAGCATTAAAATATTTCTCCAAACTGATTTTTTTTTATTTTTACACCTGGTAGGTTGTTTATTTAACATTTCTCTACGGATCCCCGCTTTAAAAGAGCTGAACTATCCCTTGAAGGCAACGTGAGGTTTTTTTTATCTTGCTGTTTTTTTTTTTTTTCACGTCTGACGTGAAAACCCCAGCACTGAATGTTTGCGATTTTCAACCGAAGGATGACTAATAAAGGCAAAGTTTCTGAGAGATTTGGCTAATTTGGTTCCAGTGACAGTGTACAGATTACCCCCCCCCCCCCCCCCCACCCACCCCCCCCCCCTCTCCCCCCCTCTCCCCCCTCTCCCCTGTTTAGTATAGGCTGAACTGTATGTCCCCAGTAGCCAGGCTGGAACTGTCCATGGTGCTGAATCACAGTCGTCCTGGTTCTCTTTGCTTTATTTGGGGGTGTTGGGGTGGGGGGGGACTTTTCAGTGAGGAAGTGAGGGTAGAGCAGCTGGCGTGAACATTTGCATGTGTGCACCCCCTCCCCCTCCCCCCCCCAGTGCTTCATAAAACGTGACTGCGCAGCAGCTAAAACCTCAGCCGATCTGTGACTCTCATCGCAGCTTGTTTTGATTTCTTTTACCAGTTCTTTGATTTATTTATTTTTCGTTCCGACCACCTGGCTCCACCGGTGTCCTCTGTTTTTTTTGTGCATTTACATCGGGAGTGGAGGGGGAGGGGGGCGTTGCTGGTAGAGCGCCTACGTTCTGTGGGGTATTACTGTGCCACAGCCCCACTGATGAACTTGTCATGACTTTCAAACGCTGTGTTTCCAAGTTACATTTATATGCTTTGTGATATTTGACCTGCTTCTATTTTGTTAAATAAAGTGTGGTTGAGGTTGAGTAAAAAAACAACAAACATCCATGTACTTTTATTTTTCGAGTCCAAACGGATATAATCGCTGTGGTGCGATTGAGAGTGTGAGGTGTAAGCAGCGCAGTGGGCTGCAGTACGTGACGGAGGATAAAAGCCTGGAAACATCGCACTTCCTCCGCTTGAATGCGTTACGAGGATGAGGTGTTGCTGCTGCCGCAGTCCTGGATGACTCAGGCGGCAACAGTGGGACCCTTTCATTAACGCGCCGTATAATCGGTGCTGGGAACGCAGCCGAGCAGGCCCTGTTTGACACGCCGGGCACGCAGCGCTCAGACGATGTGTCCCGGCGTGCTTGCCGTAGTCAGCGAGGAGCTGGCGGTTGATGCAACGCTTCCACCGGGGATAACATCACCCGAGCGCCTCGTGACACCCGGCTTTGGTGTCCAATCTCGGGTCTTTGATTCAGGTCGGAGGTTTTTCATGCCCCAGGTGCTTGTTTGTTGTTGGTTTGGTCATTTTACTCCTAATTTGTTATTTACGCCAGGTAAAAAGCATACTTCGATGGGATTTTTATTTGTGCGCGCATGCCTGAAGCAAAATGGTGAAGTACTGAACAAACTTTAATGGGACTAAGAATGTAATCGTTGACGTAAACACAAATCAAGATGGCTGCCACAAAATGGCTGTGATAGTTTTAATCTTTAAAATAATGAGCTAGAATATCATCCTGAGTTTAAAATTATTAAATTAATTTGAAGACGGACTTCAACTTGCCCCGGAATTGCTCAAGATCTTTGCTGTCCCCCATCACGGACCGAAGTGGGGGATTGGTGGACTTTTATTTTTCAACCCAAACTTATCACAGTTTGTGTTTCCAAATAAAAATAAATAACAAATCATTCAAGCAAGAGGTTATTCTCACCGAGTCACGAGCACTCATTTTCAAGAAAGACGTAATAACTAGAGAAATTGCGTTTCCTGTGAAAATGCTTATTGCAGAAGAACTTGCTGAGAAACAGCTAAAATGAGCTAAAATACATGCTGAAAAGTAGCTGAAATGGAAGCCTAAATTAGCAGAAAAAACACATACTTGCTGAAATAGGTTTAAATAAGTAGAAATGAGCACAGACATTAGGAAAATGGCTAAAAGTAGCTGAAATTAGCAAAAAAACTGAAAAGTAGCTAAAAAGGCACAAAAAAGCTTAAACTACCAGAAAGAAGTTGAAAGAGCTGAAATGAGCTTAAACGTGGATTAGCTTAAAAAGCTAAAATGTGCATAAAATAGCAGAAGTATCATAAAAAGCTGAAACTAGCAGAAAAGCACAAGCTGAAATTACCTTAAAGAAGTTCATTAGGTTGAAAGTAGGAAAATTACCTTGAAAATTTTGAGTTTATCTGAAAACCGATGAAATTAACTAAAAATGCTAAAAATGTAACTGAAATGGTAGAACAAGCTTAAATTTGCAGAAGAAAGCAGAAAGAACACGTTTGGCCAATTAGTCTCAAAGAAGCAGAAATGAGCACAAAAACGTAAAAATTATCTGAAAAAGCTAAAGTTAGCCACCAAAAAAAACAAACAAAAAAAAAAACTGCTGAAAAGCAGCTAAAACAATCAGAAAGAAGCACCAGAAGGAAGTGGTGAGAGCACATTATTGTTGTTAGGTTGACAAAAGCTGAAATATAAAATCAGCATAAAAAGCTAAATAGTAGCTGAAAAAGCTGAAGCTTACAGAAATAAGTTGAAAGGTGCATAGCAAGCTGAAATTAGCAGAAAGAAGTTTGAAGAAGCACAAAATGTTGTAGTTAGTAGAAATAATCTGAAAATAGCACAACACATCTGAAATTAGCTAAAAATGTAGCTGAAAAGGTAGAATAATCTTAAATTAGGAGAACAAAGCAGAAAGAACACGTTTGCCCAATTAGGCTGAAATAAGTGGAAATGAGGCTCCAAAATATTAGAAATTATATGAAAAAGCTGAAATTAGCAATTAAAAAAAAGCAGCTAAAACAATCAGAAAGAAGCTTAAATTACCAGAAGGAAGTGGGAAGAGCACATTTTTGCTGAATTGAGCTGAGAAAAGTTGAAATGAGTGCAAAAAATGTGAAATTAGTAGAAAAAGTTAATCAACATAAAACAGCTAAATAGTAGCTGAAATGGCTGAAACTTACAGAAATAAGTTAAAAGGACCTCAAAAATGTTGTAGTTAGTAGAAAGAATCTGAATGGAGCACAAAACAGCTAAAACAAACCCCAGCTGAAAGTAGCTGAAAACTTTAAATTTGCCGAAAGAAGCTGAAAGTAGCTGAAAACTTTAAATTTGCTGAAAGAAGCTGAAAGTATCTGAAAACTTTAAATTTGCTGAAAGAAGCTGAAGCAGAACAAAATGTGAAAGGAGCAGTAAAAGTTTGTAAACACATCTAAAGGTTTGAAGGATGGAAAATGAACTCAATTCATTTTCTTTGAGAACAAAATGGCAGAAAAGGCTAAATATTTCAAAAAGCTAAAGATGCACCAAAACCAAAAGTCATAGCAGGATTGTCCTGAAAGAGCTGAACGTTATAAATGAAACAAACTATTGTGAAATGAGAAAGATGCCAAAAAAACGTACAGAAGAAAAATGGATCACAGTACAGTGAATGCCTCAAAAACATTCACACAATAATAACATAGACCTATAGCCGAAGGTTATTTCCTGCTTTCTAAACTGCAATTTTTTTTTCAAATAGCCCGTTTATAAAAATGATATAATTCCTAAATTTCTGTTGTGGTTTTTGATTTTGGTTTGCCGCCTGAAAAATTCTCTGTGCCGTTGTTTTAGCTCATTAGCTATTTCTGTCAG